CAAAATGCTTCTCACTTTTAAAAGTTTAGCTTCCTTCCATTTGAATGTGCTTCTGTTTATAAGTTGTAAATAATGGCTATCTTAACCAATGTAAATAGCTTCCAGAAGGACCTTTGATTTGAGAAATTAAGTTGAAATCTTTAGGATTGATGGGCTAAAGGCTAGTGTAAGAACAGCCAAGACAAATGTGTATTGCTGCTCGATTAAAAAAAATGCTCCAACCTTCACAGTTTCACAGTAATTCATGCAACATCATCATATACACCTTTATACCATAATGACCTTCATGTAACATCCCTGCAAACAGTCAATGTCGCATGGACGTGCAGATCATGTCTATCTTGAGTCCATCGGTCCAGACCACGTCTGTAGGACGTCCAAACTAGGTCTTTGCACAGCGGGATAGATCTTTTTTTTTTCAGAATGTTCTGAATTTCCTTCTGGACTTGACCCCATGACGCACCAAACGTACTTAATGTTGTTGCTTTGATGAAATTAACTCTTTTAAACAACTGCATTTACTCTTTGTAAAAAGATGTGTGATGCAAATGCGTGAGCAGGCTGAGGATTAATGGTCATTTTAGCATGCTTTGCTCTTGAAATGCACTCTAATGTATTCATATATGAGCTCAGACTAGCTGTTAGCTTGTCAGTCTTAAACATGCATAGGCATATTCTCCATAAAGAGGCAGCCAAGGAAGCTATCCTAAACAGATAGGAACATAATCACAACTTTTACCCAGAATCATTACTAAAACAGCATAAAGATTCCCATCAAGACAAAGTCATCTGAGAAAGCTTCCAATCTGTTGAGGAAGCTATTTTAAGAGTTTTTAATTTTTTTTCTTTTTTTGTGCAACACCAAAACAGCAATCAGCTATTGGTTATACTACCATTGTTCTAGTCTTTGTTTCTGGCCCATGTGATGTAGACAGAGACTGTTTTGTTTGAACTTGTGGACATGAGCTGCAGGTTGTCCAGAGCCTGAAATTTTGATGGATGATGATGAATTTATGGTGCTGGTGATTTATGGAAGCAGATCCAAACAGAAAATGTATCATCTGATCAAAATGCAAATGTGCTTCTGCCATAATATTCATCTAAGCTATCTTGTAAATGGCCTTCCTGTTCATGAAATGGTGTATTTATGCATCAGTCTCTGATGCACATATAGATGTGTGTGTGTGTGTGTGTGTGTGTGTGTGTGTGTGTTTCCCGCAAGCTAACCACAGAGGACCTTCTGCTTGTCATGAAAACTGTGTGCTTGCTTTATGCTGAACATGATGCACAGTTCCCAGTAATTTATTCAAAGCTTTGAGTTTTTTTTAACTCTATTTATCATCAAATTTTCATCAAGAAAGAAAACATCAACAACAGCATGTGGTTCACTCAGTCATAAATAGTGCATTGCATACTCAATTTGTTGCATTTTCTCAGGGACTTTCTTACTTAAAATACAAAATATATTTTGACAAAGCCAGTGAACAATAGTTAATCAGTTGTTTTTCATTGTTCATTCAGTGTTCAGGCATGGTCTGACTGCATTTTTGCATCATATGTACCTATTAAGTATTACATGCTTCTTGATTTATTCATTTTTAGCTAAAAAAAAGAGAAAAAAATAGAGTAATTTATGCCTGAACTTTGTTACTTCCGCTTCATTTTTCCTAATGCATGTTTTGTTTCCAGTTCATTTCTCTCGCATGTTACCTGTTCTTTTCTTTTGTAAAAATACACCAAAACCACTGCTGGGTGGGTAGATTTAGTAAAACAAACTATTCAGGTTGGCTTTGTGGAGGGCAGGTGGGTGGAAATGTGTTTAATTTACTTGTCTTGGTCCTGTGGTTTGTTTCACTGAGCCAAATCCTCTCATTTGGGAAACTGCATTCACAGGTTTGAAGAGAGTAGGTGGAGGTCAGAGAGGATAGAACAGAGAAAAGAGGGTGTGGGGTCGATCAGAGCAATGGCAAAAAAAAAATAAATAAAAACTACAAAGCTCTGATTTTCTGATGGCGGTGGCCATTTGTGTATGACAGAGAGGGAAGAAGAGCTGATGAAGAAGAGAAAGAGGAAAATAGGTTGTATTGGAAGAGATCTAAAGCTTGGTGGTAGACTTTGTAGGATGGAGTGGGGATTAGTTGGAGAGCTGAGTGAACTTTAGAGCTGGGGGCTGCAGCTTTCAAATGAGGCATCGATAGATCTACTGCTGTCCCCCACTTCATGGCCCTCATCAGCCCCACTTCTAAACATACCACAACTCTCCTCTCACCCTCCTCCCCCCGATGCACTCACAAGTATAATCTGATGAACTCTGAGATGGCCAAAGTACTCTGGGCCCGCTGCCTGGTGAATAAAAGAGTTTAGACCATGTTGAATTGGCGCTTGGAGAAAAGGAGGCATTCTCCTTTAAGTACACAACTTCTTTGGGCTCCAAACCCATTCCATACATAGTCAAGGATGTGTCCCTCTTCTCATTGGACTGGTTTTGCACTGGTATGATCTTCAGCTAGGTGGAAAATCCGAAGGTAAATGAGATTTAAGCAACTTTAAGGAGGATCTGCTGGAGTACATTGAATACTGGTCCAGGCTATTTAGAAACTGGAGAAACGAAAAGTTAATTTAAAGCAACATTTTCGAAAAACAAAGACAATTTTAAAGGAAGTGTAGTACAACTTATTACTTCTTAAGACTTAGATGCAAATTGTCAATGAAATGAAAAAAAATCAACACATTTTCAGTCACTGTTGTACTTGTCACAGTATAAATAACAAACAATCCCAATTCCTTTATGTTGAGTGTTTGGAAGAAACAACAGATTGTTCAGTCTCCCACAAAAAGTAGAAACGTTTGTCCTAAACATTAAAAACAAAAAAGTCAAATGAATAAATGAAAAATTCACCTTAAAGTTTTCTTGAACTACTCCAAAAACTTCTAGTAGAACCATTCAACAGTTTTTGGTAAGGATGAGGCCCATCCCATCTCTACAGGATTAGTTCAGCTCTCCTCCCACTGTCTGATGGCTCTTTATCCTGGTCGACACAGCCTGTTAGAGGTCCTAACCACCGTTCCCACTCCAGTCATTATCATGCACCACGACGAGGGATCCGCTCACGGAGGCTCCGCTGTTTAGCATGAGACTGACATCTCATTTGTGACGGTTTAAAGGGAAACTCCCATTTAGGCGATGATGGAGTAACCAGTCAATGACCAACTGATCCGTCTTTGTGCCAGAAACTGGATGTTAATCTGCCATTGTTTTTTTCTGAACTCATTACAACAAAATAAAAATAAACTTTTAATTTGTAGTTGTCCATAAAATGTTAAAAGGCAAAGAAAGGCAGCTTTACTTGCATAGCACATTGCACACAGAGGCAATTCAATGTGCTTTCCATTTGCAAGAATTGCACAGACAATAAAATCAACGTGATAGCACAATTAAAATAGACACATACATTTAGATTAAATTAAGTACACAGATTAATTTTAAATTTAAGAATCACAGTGCAGAAAGTGCAGCATGAGAGACATTGATTCAACGGTTGATTAATACATGCAAGTTTTCAATTTTGATTTAAAAGGTACTAGAGATGGGACACATCTGAGGTCATATGAAGCGACATCATCCTCTGCTGTCCACAGATAAACGGAGAAGGAAGTGACGCCACCAACATCGTCACAGCTCCGAAGATGGCTACAGGAAGTAGCCGAAACGTTAGCTAAACAAGGTAAAAAACAACTCCTTTTCTATGTTTTAACCCTTCCGCTGTCCTAAAGGGTGTGACCCCGCGAGGAAAGTTGACCATTGAGCAGGGTTGATGGTTTATCCCTTGGATCCACGTGGCAGGGATGAGGAGGGAGCACCACCTCACCCCTGCCACATGGACCTCAATGGATAAACCATCAATCCTGCTCAATGGTAAACTTTCCTGGCGGGGTCACCCATAAAGACAGTGGGAGGGTTAAAAGAACCAATCAATCCAAGTTGACAAAATACACAGAATGGACATACAGAAGATCTATGCAAACTTCTGTGAAGTCCTTTCTCAGTAATAATTGTGACATATCTCATAATATTTAGTTAAAAATGTCAACTGGGTCAGGAATGAACTATTTCATGTTGTACAAATCTGCAATGACAACAATTAGACAGATATTTTAGAAAAAGGTAATGACCCAACATGAAAGCAAACATGATGTCAGGGTTTATAAACAAATATTTGACAAAATGAACAAAATATGTAAAATATGTGATATATTTAATCAAAGAAATTTAAAAAAAGCACTGACTCTGGCAAATCACAACTTAAACACTTGTTTTGTTAGTTATCGTTGCAAAGAATAAAAGGGGACATCTTTATTTTTGGTAAAATAATATTTTTGTCCTTTTTCTTTTTTTTGTGCGTGTGATTTTTGTTTCAAACTCAAAATGAAAAGCAAAAGTTACAGCCATAGAGCAGAAAAGCTGGATGGAACAGTATCTGACAATAATGACGAGAAACACAGGACCATTTCTACTGGGAGAGTGATTACTGACTGAGAACACGTGAGCTGATTAACCCCTGCAGGGCAGGACTTTGTGATAAGCTGAGGACAAATAAGGACACTAGAAGACTCTGGGATGAACAAAGAAATGAACACTCGAATCCAACTAAGAAAAAAAAAACTAAAAATAATGACCTAAATGATAAAAATCAAAATCAAAATAAATCACAGTCAAACCAAAACTAAATCCCTTACAACAACAGAGTTATCTACCTAAAATACAAACAAACCAAACCAAACAAAAACCAGAATCACATCATTATTTTACATTTTGGTCCCAGTTAAGTTTTACTACATCTATTGTAACTTTTTTCCTTGCCCTATCCCATTGGTTCTAACACAACTCTCAGTTTTCCTTTCACATGAGCTGTTTTCGCTCTCCTTCCCTCCACTCCCGCCTACACCACACTCTCCATATCTTGCTCTCCCTCTCTCTCTCCCACCGTCTCTCGCTCTGACTGCGCTGTTTGCCTCAGCAGTTCTCAGTTGCATTGAGCGTCTTGTGCTGAGGGGACAGAGCAGAGCTGCGCTCAGTGGGGCTGAACTAGTTCAGATCACTGTTAAGTAGAAACAGATCGGACCAAGCAGACGGGCTGAACAGCTGAAACAATCTAGACCAGTTTTGCTTTCCTTAGCTGAAAGTGATAATGTGGGAGTTTTTTTTTAGATGTTCATGCTGACCAGGTGACAGAAAGTATCCTTAGCTCTTCTCCTTCTGGTAACAAACTTTAAGCTGTCATTATGTAAATCAATTATTGGTATTTATGTCAATTTTCCTAGTGTTAAAGTTGGGAATTAAAGAGATACCGTGCCAAAGCTTCAACCCTTTGCAGGATTCTGGACTCTTATTTTGGCTTTTGACCTGTGGAACAGGAAATTGTTTTTGATCTGGCAGGAGACGAGACCTGCTGTGAGCCAGCCTGGAGAGACCCACCAGCATTTTTCCATAATCATTGGACAACAGGACCTTTTTTCTTACAACCACTTTTTCCAGCTGAACCAGACCTGACATTGTCTACACAAGGAGCTGTTTATTTAAAGGACTTGTCTGGACTGCTTTGCCCCAGAGGATCATGGGCTTTCTTTGGGGCAGCATTCTCCTGCTGTGTGGGGTGGTTCTGATCAGGACGGAGGGCAGCAAACCCCAACAGACCAAGAACAATATTCCACGGCTAAAACTCTCTTATAAAGGTGAGTTTGTGAATTCCCACATTGCTTTTAACCCTCTGGAGGCAGGCGTCGCAGATTTGCAACGTTAAAACCTACCTGCCTGGTTACTCCACACACGTATTTCATGAGCATTTTTTTTAACTCAGACGTAGCCCTGAAGCACTTAGTTGTTCGTCCTTTTATCAAAACTTATTTTGAGCCTGAGAGGGTTGACTCTTAGCCAGATAGTGTGTTTCTAAATCTACATGACGAGATGCTTTATCTTCAGACACATGAGAAAACATCAAGAATTGAGTAAACGTCTAAACAAAACCGATGTTTTATCAAACGTTTAATCCCTTTATCTTACTGTGACATTTCTTCAAATGATCATATCTTAACCTTCTATGATATTAGACAGGCTGGGGTGATTTTTGAACATGAAAGCTGTTAAAAAATGTGTTTACAGCTTTTTAAATTTCTGATGAAGGTTAATGGTTCAGTTTGGAAAAAGGAGACTAAGATGTTGTCATGGAAAGCTTGACTCAGTGTTAAAAGTAGATATTTAATGCTTAAGCAATTACCAGGGACTAATTGTTATAAATCACTGCACTATCATGCCAAAGAGAGAGCATTTAATTGGAGTAAACTAACTTAATGTGCCAGACTTGCCAGTATGATGTGTTTCCAGCAAAACTAACATCTAATTTTAGAAGTCTTCGTTCTTTATTACTTTCCCTGTTTTGATCAACTGCTGATGTCTGTTTTTAATGAAACGTAGAAATTTCCAAGCTGATAGGTGTCATTTGTCTTCCTCTTAATTCTTAATCTCCTTATATATATATATATATATATATATATATATATATATATATATATATATATATATATATATATATATATATATATATATATAATTTCCCTGGATGTTATTTTTCTGCTTCATTCTCCCCTGCATGGTAATTATGCTCAGATGAATGGTGAAGGTCTGTTTCAGCAGATGGCTGCAGCAAAGTGAAATGTTTCTCGCTTAGCACTGGGGGATCCATAATTATGCACACAAGTATGCACACACACACACACACGCGCATGCACACATACACAAGCATGCATGAATATGTGGCCATCTGCAGATAGCAAATGATACCTGTGAGGATATCAGTCATGTGAAACCACATGCTGTCAGTCTGGTGAAACACACCCATCCGCTGATATCTCTATTGGAGGCTTTCAGGTAGAAGAAGTCTGGCCAGCCTGCTTATTTGGCTGCTTCTACCTTCAATATTTCCACTCATCTTCATTTGGATTCTGGCTGATTGGGACAGGATTTGGCACCATCCTTCAGCTGGTGGTGATTTACTGATAATGCAGAGCAGGTACAATGTCCGTGGAGATCCTGATCACATAAAACAATGTCACATGCTGATTCCATTAAGCAAGGGACACGGAATTTCTCCCCTATGAATCATTCACACTCTTGCACGAGTTATTTATCACTCTTGTGAGACATGAAGCAAATTGACTTGTAAAGAATAATCAGATGATTCAGCCTGGTGAAGTGCAGGAGACTGAGGAGATGGTCAGTCCAGTAACACAAGGAGTTGGCAGGTGAAAGAACTCTGACCCCTACAGGTCACTGGGAATACTGGGATTAATTTCCATGTTGGAACTGCCTGCTCCACCTTTGTAAGTGTGTTTGACTTTTCCATAGGCTATTTACCTTAAAAGTGTGAACCTATGCGGGACACCTAATGAGGATAGACTAATAACACACACAGCCTTCCTGCTGAACCTTAAAAATCCATTTGATCCTTGAAAGTGAGAGTTAAAGGGCAGAAGGCCCTGGAGAAGGGGGAAAATAACAAAGGTGCCCCACTGCTACCTAAACATGACGTAAAATCCAACTGTATCAACAACAAAGTGTCTGGGTGACGATGGCGAGGAGGTATGGCCATGGACTAATGGTGCACAACAGCACCACAGAGTGTCATAAATGCTTCAAACTGTGTTATCCCCATGCATAAATTTGAATTCAAGGATGATTCTGACCTCCAGGTGAATGAGTCCTCTGAGGGGATCAATGTAGATTTATGATTTTTCGACTTTATGGGTCATAAGAAGCAGAGCGCGTGCTGTCAGCTGTCCAAGGGAAGAAAGGAAAAGAGACGGTACTTGAGTTTTCAAGATGTGGGTGTTCTGCCAAAACGGTTCTTTTTCTCTGACCTGCCCACCTCTCCCCTCAGAGAAGGCTTGCGCAAAAAAGCTCACACTGAGTCCACTGATGCTCATGCAGCTTCCAGAGCAGCATGATTGTAGGTTTGATTTTAAATACCAGAGGGGCAGAAAAAAGCAATTACATGACAGCTGAAACCACATTAGAGAATTCTTAGTCTCACTGGTCACATAACTCTTTTTAAGTATTAAGATATATTTGAGTTTAAATTTTTTATTTTATTTTTTTCACTACGAAGTGAAAGGATTTTAAATCATAGCTGAGTAGAAATGTTTCTCAAAGACATTGTAAAGCACCGGTACATTTGAGAATCCCAAAGCAGAGCTGGGTTTCTTGGGTGTGTGTAGAATAAACACAAAGTCCCTAAAAGTTGATGGAACACGCCTCCCTGCACCCAGACAGATGAGTTCAGGCTCTCTCTCTAAAAACTCTAAAAGTCCAAAAGAATGTTTAGCACTTGTTTCACAATGAGTTGCTTTTATTTGACACTCTTCTCCAGAGACATTCACTAACCTTTATGCCAGTTAAGTTGCACATCGTCTGCGCTGGCTGCAGAGTCAGGAGATAAATTCAGTCTGTTTCAGAACGCTTACACAATCTCACAATGCTCGAGGCTCCTGGCTCACACTCTGCGTAGTCTGTGATGTTTGGAAAATGATGGGGAGATTCTAACCAAGTCAATGCAAATTACAGTATATAAATATTTCTTAAAAATGCAGTAATTAGTCTGAGATGCCGTTAATTTTCTGCCATGATGCCGTAAATATTTACATTATTCTAATTGCAGAAATGTCTTGAATGAGCTTTATGGCAAAATCCACCAAACAGACACATTTGCAAAAAAAAACAAAAAAAAAAGTTATTTGTGCTCTACTAAGATGTTGCACTGTATTCTCTGAAGCACAAGGGATTCAGTGGATGTGTGAATTAAAGCTGTGATATTTTCTGTTTTTTAGTCTAGAAACATTCAGAGTTATGTGAAGGTGCATCTGAATTTTCTTGGGAAGCACTCAGTCAAAACTCCCTGTGTCCTTCAGTTGGGAAAGTCGTACAGAAAAAGACGGAGAGAATACAGGGTAAAAGAGTTTATTTATATCAGTCTCTCGGGGGACTGTTGATTCTTTGCATCCATTCCATCTGCCCTCTTATCGCACTTTCTTATCTATTCATTTCTTCCTTTTCTGTATTTTCTGCCTCAGACTGAATTTGTTATTTTTACTGTAAAGAAGAGAAGGAATAGAATGGTTGTTATTTGGTCAGTGAGAGAAAGTGCTTTTATGAGGATTTATGCAGACATACCTGCACAACAATAGAATAAAAAAAAAAAAGTTTGCAACGTACTGCACCTAATGTGACAAACCACTTAGTTTGTTCTCCGTCTGCCTAAAACTTTTTTCTGTCTTCTATAAATTTAGTTGGAGGAAATGTGGTCCAAACCAAGCTAATTAGGGTGAAAAATAAGTTGCAAAACCATGAACTTTTTTTATATAAATTTGCAGAATAAACAGGAGAGAACCCCTTTGTGTAATCCACGTAAACCCACCTGCTAGTTTTCTATAGGGGATGCTAGTTCAGACATGTAGAGGCTACCACCTCTGCTACAACCTGGAAACATCCCACTTCTTTCCAATAACACGATCATGCATACACACAGACTCACACAATACCCAGAGAGTATGTGTCTCTGGGTTATTGCTTTTAATAACTTAGCCATAGTCTCTGTTGAACGGTTGGTTACCATGGACACGACTCCCAAAGACATTTTTCAAAAGCAGAGATGTGTGTTGCAGGTGATTCTGCTCCACACAGGTGGGGTTTGTTGACGAGCCATATGCAGAATTGTGTGTTTATGCTTTAGCTAGTAACACCTTGGAAATTTAGAAGGTGATGATTTATTTCGTGGACAGAATTATATACAACATATTCAAACCTTGCTTTTAATGATGTATTTTTTAAAAGAAAAATACAATGCTAAATAACATCACAAGACTTATGTATTAAAATATTCATAACTTTATCCTGATTATTTATCTGTTGTAGAATAAAACATGCAAGTAATAAGCATACTTATAGGGATACTTATATTAGTTCAGGAAGTAGAACGGGTTCTCTGACCAGAGAATGGTTCTGTTGTGTCCTTGGGCAAGACAGGGGGAAGAAAGGAAAAGAAACGGTACCTTGCCTGCTGGTAGTGGTCAGAGGGAACGGTGGTGCCAGTATATGGCAAGCCTTGTCTCTGTCAGTGCGCCCCAGGTCACTGTGGCTACATCGTCGCTCATCCCCACCAGCCTGTGAATGGGTGGATGACTGATTGTGTTGTGAAGTGCCTTGGGGGGGGTTGTAGAAACCTAAGAAAGTGCTATACAAATACAGGCCATTTACCATTAGTGAAAAAACTGTAAGACAGCTCATTTGTACACAAGTGTATACTGTGTAGTTTGGTCTGAAATGTTGCCTTGCTTAGAATGTGAGATTTTCAATTTTAGTCTCTAGTCTGTCTCTTCATTACATAATAAGTCACTGACCCCTTCCACACTCGTTCCAAATTTCCCACTTCTTCTGCCTCCCAGAAACAAAATTTTAAAAGTTTAGAAAAAATGTCTAGACAAATTCAATTAATCTGTGACTGTTTAGAGACCATGTGTTTATTCAAATGTTTTGATTATGTAAACAATTGAGTGTTAGGCCCTAGCCTCTTCTAGAAGACACACCATGCCGGCAAATCAGCGTAATACTGCTGCCATGGTGTCTCATGAACGCACTGTGGCAGCGTGTCATTGCGGGAATTTTGCATCATTCGTGCTGCCAC